CCCCAAAACCCCAAAACCCCGAAAGTAAAAATGATCTCTTTTCAAGGTTTATTAAAAAGTCTTAAATAAAAATATTATATCTCAATTTAAAATAATCACAAATGGAAGAAAAGAAATCTACAGGGGAAACAATTTCCATAAAAAATGAGCTTGAAGTTACTAAAAATTCTATCTTTAATTATAATAATAATGAATTAACTGATTTATAATATAGTTAATCTGAAAATTCTCAATCAATTGAGGCTTAATCTTCAGAGTAACAGCAAACTATCGAAAATTAACGCAAAAGCTATTTATACATTGATCAAATAATTAGAAAAAATAGAAATTCAAGGTAAGTATGCTACACAAATCAAATTTAATTACTATATATTTTTAGAAAAGTTGAGCTTTTTTGTATTCCGCAACATCTGCTAACTGTGCTTAAAAGTTACTTAAAGATAAAACAGAAATCCTCTTATAATCTTGACCCTGAATAAATAAAAAAGATTGAAATATTGATCAAAAATCAACCAGAATATATACTTAATTTGTCTGAATCAATTTTGCTCAGCAAATAGAGTAGATCAAAAGAATCTGAGAATAAATTACTTAATTTTCTTAATTCGGAACATTTGAAGATTTTATCTGAAAATCTTAGTACTTTTTCGATTAAAGATGGAAATCCCACAATTGAATAAATAGGAAATGCTTACTATTTCTTAGTTATGAGTGCTTTCTTTGACTATTTTCTTATTAAATGTTAATAAGGATAAAACATTGTTGAAAATTAAATTTATTAAGAGATGAAAAATTTTTAAGATGCTAATAAGATAGAGAACGATTTTTTGACCAAATTTTTTCGAGTAAGATTTGAGTTTTTGAACTTGCAATGTAATACTATTTATGGATACAATAATTTTAATCAATAGAAGAATAGCAATTTTTTCAAAGATCTTCAAGAAAAATTTAAAGATCTTATCACTGAGGTTAATCCTTATGATACTATATTGAGAATGGAAATTTTAAATAGACTAATATATTGCTTGATTCAAGTAAGAAATAAAGAAGAAGCCTCCAAATATCTTGAAGACTATGAAAAGTTAGTTTTGGCATATTAGTAAAATCAAGGTTATTATTGCCATTAGAACTATCATTGCTTCAAGAGATGGTAATTTTTGGTTAAGTACTATGATTATTTCTATCCAAACAAATATCAGAATGGGATGATTCATAATCATTCTTAATAAATGATTGAAGAAAGAAAAAAAATATAAGAGAAAAAGATACAGGAAGATATAATATCTGAGCTAAAGAAATACGAAAAAGAAAATATGGATTCATATAGCTATAGATACTTGCAATACCTCATGAAATTCTTATCAAGATAACTTAAGCACAACCCAGATCAAGGAATATAAGTGCTGAAATATGTATTGTAATGGAGAAATAAAATGGGAAAATACTTTAGAAAAATAAATGATGTACATCTTACATATAGTGCAAATTTCATTCAAACCTTAAAACTCATGAATCTGTTAAATGTAGAAAAAGTAAAGATTGATAAATATATAAGGAAAATCTAAACCATAATGCATGGCAGAGTACCTAAAATCTATATCGGCTCATTTGAATACATTAAGCAATTTCTTATTCAGAGTCCTAAAAAATGTTTAACCGACAAAGAGAATAAAGATTGTTTAAAATTGAAGGAAAGCACAAGTAAACAGAAGTTTTTCAATAAACTCTAATAGTAACTCAATTTAATTATAGAAAATCCAGAATATTCTCAATTATTATTCTATGAAGAAGAATAACAATTTGATAATGATTTATATTTGAAGAATTATGAGAATCCCGAGGATTTTAGAGAAGCAATATTAAAAATAAAAGGAGAAATCTTTCGTAATAATATTCAAAAGAGACAGAAGTGCACTTACTTTGATTTAAAATGTTAGTTTGTTGATGAAACTTTCTTGAATGATGAAGTTAGATTTTCAAAATTTAAGCAAGATAAGGAAAATAAGAGTATTTTTTCAAACTGAAAATTTTTAATTTATTCAAAAATATCAATTTCTAAAATCTATGTATTCTAAAACATGGGGTTTTGGGGTTTTGGGGTTTTGGGG